AACAAGAGACAGGAGAGGAGGGACCTTGTGATGGAACAAGAGACAGGAGAGGAGGGGCCTTGTGATGGAACAAGAGACAGGAGAGGAGGGGCCTTGTGATGGAACAAGAGACAGGAGAGGAGGGGCCTTGTGATGGAACAAGAGACAGGAGAGGAGGGGCCTTGTGATGGAACAAGAGACAGGAGAGGGGGCCTTGTGATGGAACAAGAGACAGGAGAGGAGGGGCCTTGTGATGGAACAAGAGACAGGAGAGGAGGGACCTTGTGATGGAACAAGAGACAGGAGAGGAGGGGCCTTGTGATGGAACAAGAGCAGGAGAGGAGGGGACCTTGTGATGGAACAAGAGACAGGAGAGGAGGGACCTTGTGATGGAACAAGAGACAGGAGAGGAGGGACCTTGTGATGGAACAAGAGACAGGAGAGGAGGGCCTTGTGATGGAACAAGAGACAGGAAGGAGGGGCCTTGTGATGGAACAAGAGACAGGAGAGGAGGGGCCTTGTGATGGAACAAGAGACAGGAAGAGAAGGGGCCTTGTGATGGAACAAGAGACAGGAGAGGAGGGGCCTTGTGATGGAACAAGAGACAGGAGAGAAGGGGCCTTGTGATGGAACAAGAGACAGGAGAGGAGGGGCCTTGTGATGGAACAAGAGACAAGAGGAGGGCCTTGAGGAACAAGAGACAGGAGAGGGGGCCTTGTGATGGAACAAGAGACAGGAGAGGAGGGGCCTTGTGATGGAACAAGAGACAGGAGAGGAGGGGCCTTGTGATGGAACAAGACAGAAGGGGCCTTGTAGGAACAAGAGACAGGAGGGGGCCTTGTGATGGAACAAGAGACAGGAGAGGAGGGGCCTTGTGATGGAACAAGAGACAGGAGAGGAGGGGCCTTGTGATGGAACAAGAGACAGGGAGAGGAGGGGCCTTGTGATGGAACAAGAGACAGGAGAGGAGGGGCCTTGTGATGGAACAAGAGACAGGAGAGGAGGGGCCTTGTGATGGAACAAGAGACAGGAGAGGAGGGGCCTTGTGATGGAACAAGAGACAGGAGAGGAGGGGCCTTGTGATGGAACAAGAGACAGGAGAGGAGGGGCCTTGTGATGGAACAAGAGACAGGAGAGGAGGGGCCTTGTGATGGAACAAGAGTGAGTGAGAGAAAGATAATTATTTCATGTATAACAACCTAGTTAACCCTTGGCTCTTGTTAACATCTATTTTTGACAACAGTTATAATAACACACGCACATTAACAATATTAAAAAATAAGTCTGGTTAAAATTCTAGTAACTATGAACGTTCTAATAATGTAGAAACAGTTTTTGCTACTAATTAAGCATTAGTTAGTAAAACGTTGGTTAATTAGCAGCATTCATCCCAGGAGGAGCAGGAAGATGACAAGCAGGAAGATGACAAGCAGGAAGATGACAAGCAGGAAGATGACAAGCAGGAAGATGACAAGCAGGAAGATGACAAGCAGGAAGATGACAAGCAGGAAGAAGACAAGCAGGAAGAAGACAAGCAGGAAGAAGACAAGCAGGAAGATGACAAGCAGGAAGATGACAAGCAGGAAGATGACAAGCAGGAAGATGACAAGCAGGAAGATGACAAGCAGGAAGATGACAAGCAGGAAGATGACAAGCAGGAAGAAGACAAGCAGAAGAAGACAAGCAGGAAGAAGACAAGCAGGAAGATGACAAGCAGGAAGAAGACAAGCAGGAAGAAGACAAGCAGGAAGAAGACAAGCAGGAAGAAGACAAGCAGGAAGATGACAAGCAGGAAGATGACAAGCAGGAAGATGACAAGCAGGAAGAAGACAAGCAGGAAGAAGACAAGCAGGAAGAAGACAAGCAGGAAGATGACAAGCAGGAAGAAGACAAGCAGGAAGAAGACAAGCAGGAAGAAGACAAGCAGGAAGAAGACAAGCAGGAAGATGACAAGCAGGAAGATGACAAGCAGGAAGATGACAAGCAGGAAGAAGACAAGCAGGAAGAAGACAAGCAGGAAGAAGACAAGCAGGAAGATGACAAGCAGGAAGAAGACAAGCAGGAAGAAGACAAGCAGGAAGAAGACAAGCAGGAAGAAGACAAGCAGGAAGAAGACAAGCAGAAGATGACAAGCAGGAAGAAGACAAGCAGGAAGAAGACAAGCAGGAAGATGACAAGCAGGAAGAAGACAAGCAGGAAGATGACAAGCAGGAAGAAGACAAGCAGGAAGATGACAAGCAGGAAGAAGAAAGCAGGAAGAAGACAAGCAGGAAGAAGACAAGCAGGAAGAAGACAAGCAGGAAGATGACAAGCAGGAAGAAAGACAAGCAGGAAGAAGACAAGCAGGAAGAAGACAAGCAGGAAGATGACAAGCAGGAAGAAGACAAGCAGGAAGAAGACAAGCAGGAAGAAGACAAGCAGGAAGATGACAAGCAGGAAGAAGACAAGCAGGAAGAAGACAAGCAGGAAGATGACAAGCAGGAAGAAGACAAGCAGGAAGAAGACAAGCAGGAAGAAGACAAGCAGGAAGATGACAAGCAGGAAGAAGACAAGCAGGAAGAAGACAAGCAGGAAGAAGACAAGCAGGAAGATGACAAGCAGGAAGAAGACAAGCAGGAAGAAG